AGCATGCTGGCTGGGGAATTCTGGGAGTTGAAGGCCACACATCTTAAAGTTGCCAAGTTTGAGAAACACTGTTCTTAAGCATCTCTGTGTGCACTGCTACTGTTCAGAAGCACCTCTTCTAAAGTGGCAAAATGCCCATAATGCTTTTCACCTCCATTCCATGCCTTTCATTCTTGTCTTATCACCTTAGGCTCCTATTTGCAGGCAGCCCCCATTTTTGAAGCTCTTACTTCTTTACTGATGACCTCAAAACATTGCAGAAAATAATGTGGGGAACAGAACTAGCAATCAGATTCTGTGAGCAGCCTCTCTTGTTTTACACTCACCATTGATCTTGTTTGATTTCCTGTGAAAGGATCTGATATCCCATTTCACACCCAAAGTTGAACAAAAGGAGCTTGGTGCCAAAGGAAATTTCTGAAGTAGACAGTCTGCTTGCCCAACTATTAAGATTTACCCATGTGTCTGTTACACTGTTTAGCATGACGATTAATCAAATGCATTTATTTGTGTTGTATTTATTTATTTACTCATATAAAAAGGCATGTATTCCCATTCTTAAAATAGACACATATTAAATTCAGCATCTTACTGAAATTAAGGTAACCAAATCCCAGGACAGATAAACTCATGAATCATATTCTTCAGATGTAATTACTGGCCAGGAAACAAGTTAGCTAGCCCAAAGCCAGCAACTGCAACATCTTCAGCAAAGTCACCATGACTTCATTGGGCAAGGTAGTCCAAAATATTGGTGCAGCCACTGAGAAAGCCCTATCTTACTAACCTGACTGTGCCTTCATCATAATTGGCCAGTCTGCATCCTACACAAGAATTTGTAATGTTACTTTCCTTCTATATAAAATATCTGTAATTTTTACATACTCTTTACTCCAGAATCATAACCCACATAATCATAATCCATTCAGAAATGAATGTATAGGAAGAAATAGGTTTAGCACAAGAACATTAAGAACCCCTTAATTTTCTGCTCCCAGTATGTCATCCATCTTCCTCATTACTGATGTGTCGTCTTGGCAGCTGGTAGCCTGTAGTCAACCTTGCTGCTAATGAAATGCCAAGCAGGGTCAAATCTTGATAATACTTGGACAAGAGATCAACAGATCTCAAGATGATAAACTACAGGTAGTCCTCACTTAACTACCACAACAGGGACCGGAAAATTGGTTCTTAAGTGGGGTGGTCATTAAGTGAGTCACCATGTGACTGGACCCAATTTTACGACCATTTTTACAACGGTCATTAGTGAAGCCAGCGTCCCCAATGGACACTTTTTGCCAGAATTTGCTTAACGACCACATGATTCTCTTAACAGCCACATGATTTGCTTAATGACATCATAAAAAGGGTTGCAAATCATGATCATGATTGCAGGGGGTGGTGGGATGGTTTGCGACAGTTGTAAGTATGAGTTCAGGTCATAAAGCACTTTTTTCAAGGCCATCGTAACTTCGAACCATCATTAAATAGTCATTAAGTGAGAACTACCTGTAGACTAGAAACTGGAAAAGGCATCTTGGAAGAAGGCAATGGCAAAACATCTCTGTACTGTTGCCAAGAAAATTACATGTCCATGTCTACAAAATCACAAGAAAATGAAGTCAACTCAAAGGAGAATTTACTACTACAGCTGAATGTAGTGATCTTCAGCAAAAGTGGTCTACATAACAGATGGAGTGTTGGATTTGAACTGGGAAAACCTGATTTGAAAAATCTCATTGAAATTTTGAAAGCCTGTGAGATAGATATATACCTTCCCCAAAACTCCCAGTGCTATCCTACTGTATCAGGCTCCTGTGAGACTAAATTAAGTTAATCATCCATCTATGTTTTTCCCACACAGACCTTTTGGTAGGCTGGAACACAAACAAACAAACAAACAAACTCCTACTTCTGAATGGATATAAGGGTCTCAGGTTTCCTTTTGCTCCATAAGAATAGAACACACTCTTCTTGCCCCTGTGAGAACAACCTTAGTTCAACAGTGCCCTCTGAACTCCCCCTGCCTTCATTTCTGTCTCAAGCATTTAGTTTAGTCATTGTCTCTCTCACTGACACATAAGAATCAGGAGGTAAGGTTATACCTCTGAAGCTGCCTTCTTTCCTTTCTCTCTCTCTTTGAAATAGGTTAAGTGATTACCATCCCCTTGAAAGCTGGTCTCCATTCTTTGGTGTGATACACTGAAACCAGATCTCCACTTAAACAGTTGTGAAATGTCTCTCTCTCTCAGAAAAAAAGGAGGTAAGAAATGAGGAGAAAGAAAGCACAGGAGGGGGAGGCAGGGAGGGAAGGAAAGAAGAAAAAGAAAGAAAGAAAGAAAGAGAGAGAGAGAGAGAGAGAGAGAGAGAGCACGCACAAGCATTTGTAAGGGAGAGGGTCTCTTTTTAGCACATGCCTGTTCCCCCATTTATGCCTTCTATTAAAGCTTTGCCAGATCATCTGAAAATCAGGAGGGACTCTGGTAAAACTAGGAGGGCACCTCTGTGGTTTTTTGCTCAGGAGTTCCGTTGCGTGTCCTCAGGAGCTTGCTTTGTAAATATAGACAGCTTATTTAAGCAGCGTCAACAGTGCCTCACACCAAGGCCCATAAGAAGAGGTGGAGCTTTGGCCATGCGCTCACAGCTGTTTTAAAAAAACCTGCTTAGGCTTCTGCAAGCAAAGGGGGAGAGGGGCAGTTGCTGTCCCACAAAATTTGAGAAGCCCTAGCGATACGCAGATTAGAATTTAACTATTAAGAGTAAGTGGCCATGTTTGTTTCTTGCCCAACCCCAGCTGCAATGGAATCATTCATTTCCTTCAGGGGGAATGGCTCACACGACCTCAGTTATTATTTTGGGGTGCCACGACACTACAACATTTGAGAATTCCCACATTATGAAAGTGTTTTAGAGGAAGGCCTCTTTCCATTATTTTTTTCCTCTAAATACTTTTGGGACATCAGAAAAACTCAGGGTTGCCCTGAATCTGGCGCTCCTTCGTTCTTCTGGCTAAATGCCCCATTTTGGTGTTGACAAGCATGGGAAGATTTGGTTTAAATACAGATGGAAGGAGACTGGGGTGACGTTCCACTTGAACGCTGGCCATTTTACTTCTGCACTTGAAATATTTTATAAGGAAAATATCATTTTAAGCAGGGAATGTGGACACAATGATGGGCATGCCTGCCAGTTACCCCAGACAGTCTCAGAAGCAGAGAGAGAACAGGGACTTTTTAAAATCTCTTCCACTCTGGATTACTTAGTTGCATTCTTCTTTTTGCAGGTCCCATAAGAAATGGACAAAGTTTCCTTGCACTGGATTCCAACACAATCCTGTTGTCTAAAGTTATAAAGTGAAGACTTAGACTGAGATCCCCCAGATATGCAGGAAGAAAACACTATGGACAGTGAATATCTGAAGGAATCAGGACCCCCTTCTGAATTTGTAGGGACCATCACTGGCAGGAGATACATAAATCAACCACCCACCCTAGCCTGGTGGGACCCATAATCTCTGATTAGTGAGCCAATTCATAGATGACTGACTTAATTAGTTAACAAGAATAAAAGACGTATTGTAGTCCGCCAAAGTGCTTAAGAAGCTACAAGAGACATGATGTAACAGCTCAGTTCATTTTAGAAGGTTAACCTCATAAGAAGCCAAGAAGGCTAGGCTATAAAAAGGATGCAGCACATTAACAAAGCATGCCACTTGGATTTGATAATGAGCCATTAATTTCCCACATGAAGGGAGCTGTTCAGACTAAAGAAAGGTAACATACTGAAAAGAAAAGGTAGTACTTACACATTTTTACTTCTTTGAACAACAAAATAATTTTGATGGTTATCTACAGTATTACTGGTACACCCAGAAAACAATCCACAAAATTCTCAGTTCCATGAAATCCATGTTTTAACTTAAACTGCTGTTCTAAAGGTTTGCTGAAAAGCACACAAGGTATGTGCAAAAGAAACTTGAGGAAGTTCACTCTGCAGTATGGCTTCTCAGTCATGAGCAGCAGAGACAGACTGGGAGGGAGTTTGGTCAATCTTCCTGCTTAAGTGAACGACCTGGATTTCTTTGCACATATCTGGTCACTGCCCTGCACTGCCAGGGGTTGTTCAGTTCAAGCTTGTTGAGCAGGCATTCTCACACATACAGGAACAGAGGCAGGCTGGCGTTAAAATGCCACAAAAATACAGTCACTCTGACACAGAAAGATGAAGGTATCCCAAGAATGCCAGTCTTCTGCATCGAGAATGTGAAATACGTCAATACAGAGGCTGCAAAAAATATACGGCATACTTAGCATGTGGTCTCTCTCACACCAACGGGCAGAGCAACTACCTAAGGATGCAAGAAATTCACCTCGCTTTCCTCCTCCTTTGGGAAAGCACCCCAGAAGGAAGGACGTTGGAAGCCATCTCCAAGGAGGTGACAGGCAGGCAGAACTCAGCCCATGGGCTGGTGGGTCCTCATCTTGGCCCAGTTGAAACCCCAGTTAATTATGCTCTTTCGTTTTTAACAGTGGCAGAGCTGGTAAGAGGTGATACATCCATGCTTACCCCACAGCTTCCCAGAATGATCTTCTGATTCAGTGTTAGGATTTTCAGGTCCCAAACTCTCCCTTCCTGAACTGGCATCATCTGAAAAAGACGGAAGGAAGGAAGGAAGGAAGGAAGGAAGGAAGGAAGGAGGGAGGGAGGGAGGGAGGGAGGGAGGGAGGGAGAAGCCAAGGGAAAGGAGGGAGGGAAGAAAGGAATATATATTAGTTTTTGAGACTTTGTAAAGTAGTGTTTGGGGCCAGTAATAAGAACATATTTTATTCCATTCCAACAGAGTTAATATGTTCCTTGCCTGTGCAGTTTATTTCCTGTTTTTTTTTTCAGCTGGCCTCTAACATGATGGGAGATTAATTAATGCTTCCATTAATAGCAAACTGAAGCCCTTTTGTTTATGTTTATGGCTTCGTGTTCCCAGGGAGAAGATGGAACTGTTTTACGCTCCTTGCAAATGATGGCATAAATCAAAATTACAGCAGAAAAGGTAATAGAAACTTCTGGGAATCAGTCATACTTCGTCACTTAAAAAAAATCGAGGAATTGAAAAAGTTGTTTATTTTGAAATAAATATTGCCACTTTACAGATGTTTGCTTATTTAGGTCAAGGATCGGTCAAAATGGAACCATTGCAGCAGAGTAACAAGGGGAAAGAAGCATTAGTAATGAAGTTACTTAAGGAATGGGGAGCAAGTACAACACCAGGGTGGAACAGCAGCTATAAGGTTCAACTACAAGGAGAGGCCAAAATTCAGATAATCTCAAGCCCACCCTTGCTTCATCTATTTCACAGAGTTTCAGAGACCTACTTGCCAGAATAAAACAGAGAACTGATTCTACTGTCTTGAGCTCCCTAAAGGAAACGACAAGAGACCCATACATTAAGTTTTGCTTTCCTTATTCCCTACCTCTTTTCCTTGTGGTTCCAAATTAACCACGACATTTCTAAATTATAATATTCTGAAATGGACCTCTGAAAAATGTAGTACCAAAAAGGATCACTGTATTCCTTGTCTTGAGTGTTAGACGAAGAGAAGAGGAGTTTCCATCCGACTTGGCACAGACCTAGTATTTCTCCCTATAACTCCAGAAGTGTGGTTTTCTGGCTGCACTGATGTTCTCTGTTAAAATTTGATTTCTGGAAGTAACTGAACAGATCTTCCAAGCATGCAAGCAGATGGTTTTCCTTCTTCTTTTGAAATACTCTTCGATTGTATAAGAGCTTTGTCTCATTGTCCTGACTGGGGGCCATTCCCCCTGAAATCCCTCTTATGGGATACAAAGTAAAGCTGATGTTAAGTTTAATCGACTTATCTAGCTATCCACCCATCCATCCACCCACCCACCCACCAGTCAATACTGATCATAACTCTAGGGCTACTGAGAGAGACACATGTAAGATCTGGATTTCTGTCTTAAATGTATTTTTGTGGACTCAGCTGGTTACTAGTCCAACAGCAAAAAGCCACATATTTCACATGTTTGTAAAAAGTGCATACAAGTGTCTGTGCACAAGTTCCTCCTGCTTCTGGGAACTTTAACTATATGAATTCTCGATTGCACTGATAATTTCCTCTTAGCCAGCATTACACCTGTAAGACCCCTTTTACAGACATTTCCTTGAGTTTCCAAACCTTGGTTTGGGATCTGTTCTCGTATGGATTCTATATGAGAAAATAAAAGGCTGAGAAATGGCAGAAATTTGCATACAATAAATGAATATTAAAGCCATATTCCCTATCATGGAAACAGCTATTTATAATCTGTAGCCAATCATTCTGACCTCTAGTGATTGAAATGCAGGACATAGTCTTATCTAAGCGTTAGTGTTCAAAACTACAACATAAGACAAACCGAGACGTTGATGGATGCAGGAGAAAGCCATGTTGCAGAAAGAGCACGGCGCTTGAAATCTGGCTTCTAATCTCCAGTTGGACACAAAGCCTATGTGATGATCTTTGGTCCATCTTACCTCTTAGCTTGTGCTACCTTACAGGATGCGTGTGAGGATAAAAGAAAAGGATTGTGTTCTTCTGGAAGCAGCTTGAAGCAGAAAGTTTCAAAAGCAGCAATTACTATCAATGTGGGTCCTATAATAAACATACAATGACATGTTCCTCTTAGGAGTAGCTGACAAAACAAGTTTCAGTGTATCAGCAGCATCAAATTTCAGCTTCCAGTGCAGGACATCTTTAGATGTGCTTCTTGCAGGTAGTCTGTAGCAAAATGTAATAACGCGGGAAACAATGCTTACGAATTTAGAGCCAAGCCCTAAATTTTTTGCAGGGATTGCTATCGAACCGATGCTAAATGCTCTCAGACTTCCTTGCACATTTCAAGCAGGGGTTTTGTCAATCAGTACCTAATCCTCTACAGGCGGGTCTTCTGAGACTAGCCTCCCTTCCTTTGTCTACGGTCTCAGGTTACAGTGTGTCCACCAAGCACCCACACCCCCCTGCCTGAAACTCCACTCGTGCACGCCACCTAATTGGCATTCGCAGCCATACTTGAGAGGTTGCCAAGCCTTTCATGTGAAGCTAAGTGCGGCAAACGCGCCAGATCCTTTGAAGATGCATCTCTGCTTGTTACCCAGCCAATGCCTCAATTGCATACAAGGCTAGTGAAAACTCTGCTCCTTGCATTCCCTCCCCAAAGAAATATGAAGGGGAGTGGCTGAATTAAAAGAGAGAGAGAGAGAGGGAGAGAGAATGAGACAGATCAGGTAACTTCACTGGACTTTAAAAAATGTCTTGACTGAGAAAACACATCAGTGTCCCGCGGCAAAAAAAATAACTGTAACAGACGTAGAGAGTGAAATAGAAGAACAGTTGGTCTTCCTCCTTCATTCAACAATAGCGAAAGAACGAGCTAAGATCTCCCCTTGATCTGCATACTTTCTTTATGCATTGCAGTAAATATTGATGGCTTTATCAACCTCCTAAATTAATATCTGTGTATCTCCACTTCCTAACTTTGCAATTCATATATAAATATGCGGAGTATTCAGCTACTGATCACTGATAGAGCTATCATCCATTAATTTGTCTAACCCTCTTTTAAAAGCATCAGTACAAGAACTTATCCTGCATGCTAATTATCTATTGACTGAGTTCACACATGGAACTGAGCCATTATTTGATTAATCATGGTTTATTGAGTTGATTAGTTTTTATACATTTTTATTTATTTTATTTTTATCTTGCCTATCAGCACCAGCGTGCCAGAGAATTAACCTGAGACTACAAGCCACCATGGTTGATTTCACCGAATGCAAAAAGCCAAACCTCTCATCCTTCCCCTCATATCCCCTCCCTAGTCATAATGTGTCCTTGTTTTGAGTTGCTTTCACCTGGATATAATGGCTAGTGCCCTTTCTCCCAAGGAAGTGACAGCTGGTGGCTTGGATCATGCCCAGATCTGGTGTGTTTTTGCACCCAATCCTATCCATGCCTCATTCACATTTTGTTTCTCTAGCCAGGCAAAGGAATAGAGGTTATCTTCTTTTTTCTTAATGATTGAATTGAGATATTGCATTGCTAAGCTAAATTATGTGTATGTGGGGGGGGGGAGGTGTTCCCTCTTGGCTTAATGCAATGTATACATCTAGTCCTCGTGGCTCATTTTTCGTTTACCATTATGGTTAAATTAGGCTACGGACTGTAGTTTAAAAAGTCATAGATTATCAGTTCTACGGTTGTATTGTTGTTGTTGCTATAGGTGCTTTTGCATCTTCTTTTCCTTTGCAGAAAATGTATTAGTAATTTGTTATTGCTTTTATGCTTTTTTAGTATCTTGAAGCTTTTCTGAACTCTTTGAGGATGGGAAAATCAGAGTAAAACTAATTTTTGAAATCTACTGAATAATTAAAAATGATCCCATGAAGATCAGTAAGAGGCAGAACATCCTGCCTGATGACTCTGTGCAAACACAACAGAGACATGCTCTCTCTTGAGACAATGAAGTTCAAAAAGAAGGAAGTGGGTTTGCCTGCTCTCCCTACCTCTACTCATAGGAGTTCAAATGTCCACTACTCATCCACACGCAGGAGACCATGGAGGAAAGAGAGGTCCAAGATAGAATAAGCAATCCCCGCCTCAATCTTCTGTAGGATCTTGCAGTGAATAGTGGCGTCAATTCCTGTTAATTCCTTGCATAATTAGAAATAAGTAGAGCTGGCATTCAATGCAACAAACAGAATGTAGAAGAAACACCTGGACTTGGATCATTTTGTCCTTCTCATAGGATCTTGGTTCCATTGTGAAGGAGAATGCCTAAATGGATGGGACCCCAGCAAGCTGTATCAGGTCTTGTTACTGTTTCTCCTTGGAGTGTAAAGATGGAGGAAAGTTGGGTAAGATTTTTTGGCTTTTGTATAAATATAAATTTACTTTGAAAAGGAAAGCTAGGTTGATGCACAAGACAACTTGCTGGAAAGTCTGGATGAAAGAATATATTCTGCTCCTCTTGGAAGATGTAAACATTATCAAGAAAAACACCTTGGCTTTGTGAGAGACCTTAGTTCTGACAGAAGAAGGGTTAGTTAACTGGTTAATCTGCAAGATTAACAAAACCTTGTGAAAGTTAATAAGCCAGAAACCTCTGATATATTTGCTGCAAGCAGGGAATTTCAAATGTCCAGACTTTGTATTTTACAGTACCATACTAAGGTCCCTGATTTAAGCTTGCCTGGTAGAAAATCCAAAATTTGATGACCACACTATGGGACCTGAGGGCAAACTCTCCCTTTTTTCCATATTGAATGTCTTTTGCTGTATGAATGGCTCCATTCATTCCAATGGAGACAAATGGGTGGTCCAGTCCAGTGACAGGAACTTTGGAAGGCAATCTCAGATGAATCTCTTCCCAGAGATCCCTGAAACATTGCCCTAGAGATCTGTGTAGACCCTCCTCAAAAAGCAGAGTTACAACCCTAATCCCTCCCTAACAAACATTTCTATTCCAAAGAGCAGAACAAATTCCATGTTGGCGTAAAACGTCTAGTCTTAAGTAAACCTAAATGAACATATTTACTAGATATGTTTGAGCCTGGTTGAGAAAGAATTTGCATTTGACTTTCTGAGCTGGTTGTGCTTCAGCAAGGAGTGATTTAAGCCAGTGGCAGATTCCAATCAGGGCTCTAAACAATACTCCAGTTTATTTAACTAAAAATATAACCACAGCGGTCCTCTGTTGTCCACAGCATTTTTCTTTTGTAGAGCATTGAGGCTTCTCATGGCCCTAACTCACTACGGCTGGTTTGGGAGCATTCAATGTCAGGGGTCTTGAAAGCTCCATTTCACAGATGAACCAACTTTGCATAAATAAACCAAGCGACCTTTGAACAGAAGCCCAAGAGCTGAGCGCACTTCAAAGCCAGTAGAGGAGGCTGAATGGAGAATGAAGCGATCATCAACCCAGTCCATACATCATTACTGCAGCTCAAAGCAGTTCTCTTTGAAAGAACAAGGGATGAGAGTGAATGAATGAATGAGAATGAAAGGGTGGGCAGAATGTGAGATAGGAGAGAAGTGATGTGACCTGGTCAGGCTTGAAAAATTATAATGAGCGTTTCATGCAGGGACAAAAGAAAGATGGAACAACTCCACTCTCAAGATCTGTTATCAAATTCCAAAGCAAACCCAGCTTCCAATCCAGAGCTAGACTGTTTATAGGCAGTCGCCATTAGACATACGTTAAGCCAAGATTTTCAGAATCTTTGGGAGACAAAGGCACCTAAGAGAATATACCTCTTCTTCTTCTAGAGCACCATGGGGAACCTCTGGAGCTCCAGTACATGCTTTTGAAAACCTGAACTTGTTTCAAATTTGCCTGCACAAAAACAACACAAAACAGGAACCTCTGTGTATACAGCTATCATTTTTAAAAATCTCTGGATCAATAGCTTATTTCAGAATATTCGCAGACACAAAAACATCCCCACGTTGGAAGAAAGACACATGACCTATGTGCGGTCGAAACAGATAAAGTGAATCCTTCACCTAAGAAAGTCACTGAAGACAACCCAAGGTAACCGACTGCTCACTCTTGCTTTTTCTAAAGCCATTCCGAATAATACAATAAATGCTACGAATCAGTTTTCGACACCTGATGGATCAGCTTCTTTTTACAAATTGAACAAAGCAAGTAATTGCCTATTTTAGGATACTGATTAGCTAGCTGTTATAAGATTGTGCTGGATTTCAAAGGGATATAAAAAAAAAGAACCAGGTAACTGCCAATTAATCCATGACTGTTAAGTGGAGGACAGAAAAGAAAGCGTAATAAAGGCTAGAAATTCAAAAGGGTGAATTTAAATCATACAACCAGCTTGGGTCCTTGTCTATCTTAGAGTTTAAAAATGGCAACATGGTGGCAGCATTTCCCCCTTAAGGCAAGGAAGGACTGAAGCACTAGGATTCATTCTCTTACTAGAAATCATATCTATATTATGATATCCTGTATCATAAGGATGGGGAAAGAACAAATTCTTGAATAATAGGGACAAAATACACAAGAACATTCAGGAGCCCTGCACTGCTGTAGATTGAAAGAAAGTGAGCAAACTTCTAAAATCACCTTCTGGTCATTATGGTCAACCTGGGCAGTCCACAAGATTAGGCCACATTTGGACCTTTTAAGAACACAGCATGAACCCTTTCACAAAATGGTCAAATGCTTCACAAAATGGCTGTCCGGATGGGCACAGCCAATCACAAAACATTTATCAGTCTGTAAACCTGGTGAGGATATTCCTTGCTAACCCCTTTCAACCCCTTCTCTGGATCCCCTCAATCATCTCTCAAGCTTCGGTCCCTCCCATCTGTATGATTGTACTTCTGTCATTTTGAATGGGCCACTGGGCACGTTTCCAAAGAAAGCACAGAGAAGCAGTTAACTATTTTGTTTGTTTTCTAAGAATGCCTGAGGAGCTGATGTTCAGCACACCAGATTCCAGTTAATTTTTTATTATTAAAGTAATTTATTTTTTGGAAAAAATCAGATATGGCAGAGACCTTGATGCATGTCGAGCAAGGGGGCCATTAAGTTAACTGGTGTGTGACTGCACCATGTTGAAAACTGCAGGCAGACCCTGACTGAAAGCAATTCTCCAGGATTTCAGAAAGTGATCTTTCTGGGACCCAGCTGTAGCATGCCAGAGACTGAACATGCAAAGGAAATACCACTGAGAAAATGGAGAAGGGATGGCCATGTATGCTAATTTAAAATAAAAATATGACCTGCTTGCACACACACACACACACACACACACACACACACACATACAGAGTTGTGCTGGAAATATGGCATCTCAAATTGATATATGTTTCTTTAGCTAGGTGTGGACAGATTCCAGACTGAGACTACATGCCAAATCTGAGATTTATCAGAAGGTCTAGATCTATTGCCTGCTTGTATGCTAGACCAAGTCATGCAAGAACATGTAAAGTGCTGCTAGTCATGACTCCTTCATGATGGTATGAACTTCTGTAATAAGACTTGTGACTTTTTTGAATACCCAAACTTCTTCAATCTACCGAAGTAGAGATTGGGAATAGTGGGGGGAGGGGGGGGGATCCTCCTTAAGTAAACTGCCTTAAAACCTGAAAAAAAATTAACTTTCCCTGAATTTAACTTTGCAGGTAACTTAAGCTTCTTTCATCACTAAACTGTTGGAAATATATTGAGTAAACATTCTGTGGTTTACTTAGAGAAAGACCCAAGCAGAATCTTTTCAGTATGAAGTTTCAAATGAAGCAGCATATGATTCTTTTTTTTTTTAAATCCTAATAATGCCACTCTTTTTCATTATTAATATCACATTTCTTGCTTCTGGGACAGTCATCAGTTTTAGTAAACATTTTTTTAAAAAAACCTTTTCTCTTAAGAGACAGCGATGACCACAGCCCGGTATTATATTTTAACTGCTGAACTTGATTAAAATGGATATGGTATCGGTATCCAAAAATAGCAATTTGCAAACCATAATCTCACACCAGTCTGGCTAACAATGATATCTGAGACATATGTTCTAGTGAGGCATAGAGAACATGGGCTAAAAGTGCCAGAAATGCTCAGATGTGAAGCTGGGGGTGAAGGATTGTTAACATCATTTTGAAAAAGACAAACACTATTGTTACAGATATAATTTCACTGGCAACTATGTGAGAAAAATTCTCAGTGAAATGTCTCCACTACAAATACTCAGTTCTGAAGATCTATCCAGTAGAACTTTGATTACTAGATTTGGACAAAAATAATTACTTTCCTGATCACTTACCAGTTTTACAGGCCCTATGGCTTATTCTTTTGACCACTAATATTGTGGTTTCTCTGCAGGAAATGCTTGCATTCCAATTATTCTTCTATTTGCAACGTCCCACCCATTTAAAGAGCAATGGCAAAGGACATTGTCACCACAGAAAAACAACAGAATGTCTGCATGAAAGAAAATTTATTTTTGACTGTGGAACATTTTTTAAGGGTGGTGATAAAGCTTAGTCCTCTGAAATTCCAAATCAGGCTTAACAGAAATAGCATAAAGAACAGGTTAAAACAAGGGTTGTTCAGGGACAACCCTGTTCTCTCTCTGTTGGCCCAGAAGTTGTTTTCTTTCCAATTCTCGAGCATTATTTGTAAAAACTGGGGCTTCACTTGCCCATTGTCCAGTAGGTTCATGTGAATCAGGCAAAATCTAATTCAGTTCATCAAGTCAATTTGGAAAGTCAATCTGATTCTGACAGTTAGGAAAATCATATTCAGTTTGGACACTGAGATTTCTGAACTGATTTGGAAAAAGCCTTGTCTGCCCATCAATTCAGAGACATCTGATTCAATGATCTGAACTGGCATTCCAATTCAATTTGGAAAGAAAAAATGATTTAGAGATTTGATTCTACAGTACTGCCTTCCAATAGCATCCATAAATGGAATATACACAACCACTCTATTATCTATCATGGGAAAAACATACCTGTCCATTGGTAGCTATAACTTTCATTTTTATCAGACCAGTACAAAATTTGCCAGGAAGTGAGATCCTCATGAATGGATGCTCACTGATTGTAAGAGACATTGGTTTTCTGTTACATTTCTTTACACTCCAAGTTTTTAAAATGCCTATAACTTTTTTGCTTTTTATCAAAGCTGAATGGAAGATTCAGAAAATTTAGATCACTATGAGTGACATGTGCTAAATTTCATAGGCATCAGCACACAAATTAAACAGCCTCTTGACCACAGTGTCTGCTTGTTCCGACCACTTCTCTAGCACACTCAGTAATCCTATCTCTGATGACACTGCCAAATATACACAAACACACACCTATCAGTAAGGACAAAATGGGCCAAGGGGATGGATAGGCTTATAAGGAAAAAAGACAGAATGATATATTATTTACAACTATTTCTGCAGTCATCCTTGCCCGGGGCTCGTGCTAATCTTCTCTGTATCATTCTAATTTGAGCATATGTGCTGTTGAAGTAAGCCTGATTTACCCATTAAAAATCCAAGAATGAATTATTTGTAGGAAGGATCATTAATGGGGAAGGAGTAAGTAAAAATAAATAAATAAAAACAAAACACCAGTTCAACTGAAAAAAAAAATATTGACCTTAAATAATAAAATAACAAATTTGGAGAAAGGAAGGGAAAGAAAGGGAGGGAAAGAAAGATGGGATGGAACAGGAAAAGATCGGAAGAATATCGAAAAAGGGAACTGAGTCAAGAATGGGAGTAAGGGGGATGAAAGAATAAAGCACTCATTCACATGAGAAACTCTGATGCATTTACAGCAATGTTACATTCTAAGTAAAATGTAGATTATAATTGTCAAAGGTTGCTACTAGGCCAATGGCACAATTCTTTCTCTAGGAATTCAGCACTCTTATGGGAAGTCAAGTACTAGGTAGGAGTTGATAAGATACTTTACTGAAGATACAAATAGCTTTAATTATGATAAAGATCTACGAAGACTAAGAATCTGGCTCTTTATATATGTAAGACCCAAGGTTTAGATCCTGGGTTCTCTCTCCTGCCGTTTTGCTCTACTGTAATGGATGGCTTTCAGTCTATTCCGCATGCTGAGTGATAGGCTGAACCTGCCTGTGTTTACAAAATGTTCTTCATACTCCCAGACTCCAGGTTTCTGCCTTGCTATCTTCAGTATTTAAAATGATCTCTCTAGAGGATATACAGTATAATGTCAGATAAGGGTCTAGAAGGGACTTTGGTGATCATGCAGTCCAATTACTTCCCCACTGCTGGAATCCACTGCTATAGCATTCTTGACTCTGTTTTCAACATCTTCAGCGAACGAGGGTCCATCATCCCATTTGGTAGTCTGTACCGCTTGTGAACAACTTTTACCACGTTAGGAATGTTTTCCTTATGTTCAACTGAAATCTACTATGTTGTAATTTAAACCCACTGTTCTTGTCCTGTTTTCTGGAATAATTGAGAACAAGTCCACCCCACCTTCTACATGCCAGCCCTTCAGGTCCATGAAGACAACTATTATGTCTCCCCACAGACTTCTAAACATACCCCTCCAACTATTTATCACAAGTTAATCCTTCCAGGCTTCTTATCTTGGCTGCTGGCTCTACAAACTAACATTAATGAATAGTCATGGAAAAAAAAATCTCTCCTTTGGTTCAGTATAGAAAGGTCATCAAAATATACAGTGAGGTATTAGATCTCCAAACCATACATACAAATTCTTTGAACTAAAAGTTCAAAGTAGTGTCCATTAACTGTTGGCGCTGTCTGGAAATACATCTAAATAGAATATTTCTCAGTGTAACAGAAACTTACATAATTACATTCAATTAAGCTCTAAAGTGTTCTGGTTTAAATAAATCATATGTATTTAAAGAACGAAAATGTGGAAATACGTTGTGTTTGTTTCTCCCTCCCTTCCTGAATCAATACAATGATCCCATCTTTTGGGTGCTTTGTATCTAGTTAAGCCCAGGCAGGGAGATTATACAAATCTTAATATCTCTTGCCAATTTACCTTGTAGTTCCTGTTTTTCCCTAACTCTAAAGAGCAAATTGATTCTCTAACAACTGCATACCACATTAAATACAGTTAATAGTGCACGGTATATTCTTAACCTCACTGATGGCTGATCACCCCCCTTCCCAAAAATAAAAAATAAAGTAAGGGGACTCTTGAGAGGATTCTGAGTGACTTCTGGAGAAATTCATTCAGAGATGTGAAAACTGAAAGGAATTAGAAAATGAAGGTTAAGATCTATGGACATCCTTTGAAGATGGAATGCATACACCAATGACATCCATCACTATGACTATCACTATGATAGTGATGACATCCATCACCACTATCATCTCTCTAGGATTCTATTATCTCAGAAGGGAAACTTAGCAACTGGACAAAGAAGAACCTGGCAATTCCAGGTGGCCCTCCAGAGGACCTTAAAGATCTGGCTCTTCCCCCAACTTTGGCAAGGGTGGCTGGAGCCCCTTGTTAGGTGTATGATATGTTGCTGTTGAGCAGATTTGCCATCTTGCTTATTAGCTCTCTATTTTGATTGCAGTCTCGCCCCGGTTGTCTCAGCCCGCCCCACTCGGTCCAGCAGAAGGGGCAGGTTGCAGACCCCACCGGTCAGGGAATTTCGATTGGTGGGG